TTCCATTAGATCATACATTCCTTAAGGATAAAGGCTGTGTCATCTTCCTCTGGGTCTCCGTGCCCTGGCCCAAACAGTAGTTCCTTAAAAGTACACAGGAGGAATTACGCCACCCTGACTAAACATGACCCTCAGGAGGGCAGCTGCTTGTGTTGATCATGGAAACCCCAGCCCCACCACAGCCAAGCTCAGGAAGGGCCAGGTGATCTGTACGATGGAACTCTTCTTAGCAACAGACTGCTAAGGGCCCAGCCTTTTTGAACTCACTTAAAAAGCATTAGTCAGTGCAGCCATGTTTTGATCCAGTGAGGGAACTGAGGATCACATAAAAGTAATTTCTGTGCCAAGGTGCCCCGGCCTCTCTGTTCTTTGCTTCCGCTTTAGGAGTCTTCTGGTTTAGCCACCCCCGCCCCACACCTCCCCCGTCATCCAGCAGTGGGAAGAGCACTCAGTTCACAGCAAAGAGGGCTGAGACCTGCTCCCAGCACTCCCCATTACCAAGTGGGGACCTTGAGCAGGTCACTTGACCGCTCTCCAGTCTACTTCCTTGTTCACAGAAGGATATGCTTCCTGCCACCAGGGCCATGGGAAGAGGCCCTGGGCTATGGGCTGGGGTGCAGAGGAGAAAGGAGCAGACCTCTGCCCTTGGGGAGTGCTCCTGACTCATCCGAAGGACACTCACTGAGTCCTGGCTGGCCCTGCAGTCTTCCTGGACCCCACCTCACACTGTCACGGTCCCCATATTCGGTTAGTCCCAGATTCAGCTCCCAAGCACTGAGTGCATGTTCTGGAAAATGGAATGTTGAGTTGATTCTGCCCTGGCTTCTCCCTTCACCCCCTCTTCCCGCCCAGATCATACCACTCACCCTCTGTGGCCTGCTTTAGTGTCCTCAGGGTGCTTAGCCCTCCCCAGCCTGTGTCCTCAACTGTCATCCCACCCCACCGAGTTTGGGAACTGGCCTGGCAGCCCCGTGACTCTTTCTCCTCCAGGAAGGCGGAGCATCCCTACAGCAGTGTGTCCATGTCCGCCTGGTCCTGGGGAGGTGCCGTCATGCACCTGCGGTGGGGCTCTCGTGGTCATGCTGGGGACATTAGTACCATATGACCCTTCCCTGGCATCTTTAAGTCCCCCGGGTCAACCCTGCTGGCTTCTAGGTTGGGTACATTCAAGGGGAAGCTTTTATAAATCATTTATAAATTCAACTGCAAAAGAATCAGCACTTCCTGATGACAATTAAAGGAAGATTAGTTGATTACAGAATCTGGAGAACTAACATTTGTTGAGTTTCTCTGTGTGCCAGGAGTTTCAGCCAAAGATATTTGCTAAGCACTTACTATGTACCTAATACTATACTATTACCCAAAGGAAAATAGAGAAATGAGACAAGTGAGCTAATAATTACAATGAGTGGGCTCTGAATATACCTGGGCAGGAAGGGGGTGTGCACCTGACCCCACTGTGCAGGAAAGGGCCGGGAAGGCCTCCTGGGGGAGGCAATGCTTGAGGCAGCAAAAGGCAAATAAGAGGCACCAAGGATGAGACAAAAGGAAATGGGAGGGTATTTCAGGCAAAGGGACCAGCATGGTAACACAAGAATGCATGAGGCATTCTGTGGGAGCAAGTAGCTGAGCAGGGCTGGCGGGCACATGGGAGCCATGGTGGCAGCCACGGTGGCAGCCGCGGTGGCAGGAGGGCTGTGCCGTAGGTGAGATTGCAGAGCTTTGTGGGTGGGCCCAGAATCTGGAGGGCTCTGAACACTGCAGGTGGCATTTTCCAAGGGGCTATTAACAGGTGTTACAGGGAAAGCGAATCTGTGTTCAAATAAATAGGGAAACAATTTCTAAGAAAAAAAGAGTCTTCCCAAAAGCAGCCTGAGGTGACCTCTGAAAATCGTTCACTATTCACTTGACCCAGAAACCGCACAAAATCATGCAAACCAAGAGCTTCAAATTTTCATGTCCACTTTAAGAACACTCATGAAACTGCCCAGGCCATCAAGGGTATACATATTTGAAAACTCACCAAGTCCTGAAGGGTGTCACTTTACAGAAGCAATGCATGCCATTCCGTCGTTACAATGGAGTTGGTAGGTGTGCCCAGGCTGAACAGTGGGGCTGGACACAGGGTGGGTGGGCCAAAAAAAGTGCTGAGTGTTTGCTGCACATACTTAAAAATGCAAAGAGTAATGCTGAACGTAAGGGTTTAGACAGAGATTCTCTGGTCATTGAGCACATCCAGGTGAGCAAAGATCCCAAGACGCAGTGCAGAACTTGCAAAGCTCATGGGCGGATTTACCCGTGCATGAGCTCTCCCTGCCATGGTGAGATGACCCTACTGGAAAAGAGCAGGTTGTCCCTAAACCAGAAGAGGATGCACAGAAGAAACTGAAGAAGCAAAAACTTGTGACCCAGGAGTAAATTCAGCATAAAGTACATACTAATAAAAGTAAAAAGAAGAAGGAAAGGGAGGGAGGGAAGGAGGAGAAAAAGAAGAAAGGAATTAACAGGGTTTTGCCTTTTTGGGGTGGATTTTTTTTTTTTTAATTGCAATGACTTTGTTTGCTGTGCTAACAGTCGTTATGAATCTCCAAAAGGAACAAGACTGCGCCAGCATTTCCCAGACTTGTCTGACTGGAAACACCCTTTTCTCCCTTCATACAGTGCATCTCTCAAATGGTGTTTCTCAGAACACACCTCGGGAGACGCCAGCCTTCCACAGAGATGATTTAAGCTGGCAAGTGACATGATAGGGCGTGTGCTGTTTTGTGTAAATCCACTCTGGAACAAGTATGGAAGGTAGATTGGGAGGCAGGGAAACGTGGTCATGTGATAGTTGTTAATGTCTCCTGGCAGCATCATGGGAGATCATGGTATCGTGGTGAACACCATCTCATTGAGTCTCCCTAACAGCCCCCTGGGGTAGGGAGTGCCGTTGCCTGCCCCATGTACCAGTGAGGCTGGGATGGTCAAAATCACCGTCCCATAGGAGCCCAGAGGGCAAGTGGGGGGCCGAGGTCCAGTCTGAGACTGCCTGACTCCAGAGGCCACCTCCGGAGCACTCTGCCGCCCCTGCCTGCAGCAAGGGGAGTGGTCACGGGACGAGCAACAAGGGCTATGGAGCTAGAGAAGTAGCCTGGCGAGCACAGGGTCGCAGACGGGGAGGAGAGGGGTGTGTGTGAGAGCAGGGCATCTGGGCAGGGGCAGCAGCCTGTGCGCCTTGGAGGGCGGCTCCCCACTCTCTGTCCTCTGCTTTCCTCCTGATGAGCTGTGTAAGTTAGGATGCTCAGTGGGTGGCGTCCTCAACCCCAGATGGCCTCCAACTGAAGAAGGCTCACTGAGCACGGGTTGGCCTGCACTCCGCGCTAATGGCACAGCCTCTGGGAAGCCACAGTCTGTTTCCATCCCGATGAGCTCTCACTTCCCCTCAGGCCGCTCTGATAGGTCCTGTGCAGGGCACCAGGGATCCAGGGATGCCTGAGACGCACAGCCCCTCCCCCAAGGAGCCGGACTCAGAGAATGAGCTGTGAGGCAGGTTTGCTCTCTGCAAGGTCCCTCCAAACAACTGAAGCTCTAATGCACTGTCCAAGAGAAATGTCACGGAACCACACATGCAAGTCACATGTGGAATCTAATATATTTAACCCAAATATCTAAAATGCTTTCATTTCAACATGTAACCATTATTAAAAATTACTAGGATAGTCTACATTCTTTTTTCAAACTGAGCCTCTGAAATCCAGAGTCTGTTTTGCCCTTAACAGCGTGTCTTGATGTGGACTCGCCCCATGTGGCCGTTGGCTCCTGAAGTGGGCAGTGCATGTCTAAGCTTTGTCGAATAACAATGTTCTTTCATAAACCATGTCGTTGAATGGGCAGGAAGCAACTGGAGGCCCCTGCAGGCTTTGCTGTGGTCCCAGGTCTCAGTCTTCTGGGCTTTTTCTCTCCTGATTCTGCCTCCCCGTCTCCCACACCGGTCAGGGCAAAAGATGAGCAAGCAGTTGAAAGGACAAAGCTTAACCCTCAAGATAAAGAGTTTGAGAGTAGAGCCAAGAGGTCTGTGCTCCGTTGTTTTTTATTCAGATCCTGATTTCAAAAGCCAAGTATTTTGTATGAGTTTCATTTGTTCATCAGACATTATTGTGCACATATTTTCTTCCAAGGCACAAGGATTTGAACATTTGAAAGGCAATGGGGTCAAATATATGGTGACAAAAGACTTGGTTTTGGATAGTGAACACACAGTGCTATATACAGATGATATATTACAGACATGTACACTGGAAACCTATATAATTTTATTAACCAATGTCACCTCAATAAACAATAAAATTTTTTAAAAAAGAAAGTAATGGGTGATGGGGAAGATACTTCCTGTCCCATGTAAGCCTATGGAGCAGGGAGCAGGGGGAGCACAGAAGGCAGCACCTGACCTGGGCAGAGTCTTAAAGAACAAGTGAGCCAGGCAGATGAGGGTCAGGTAGGTCATCTCACCCAGAGGGCAGGCAGGAAACAGGCATGAGAACCCAGACCCCTATGGGGGTCTGCCCAGGTAAGCACGGGTGGGAAGGGTCTGTGCGGGGCCCAGCAGAAGCCAGGTCTTAGAGGATTTGGCATGCCAGCCAAGAGCCTTGCTGCGCCGTCACCCAAGGACAGGGGGTAGGGTAGGCAGGCAGCAGAGGTCTCCAAGTGGGGGTGTGACACCGTCATATTGCGCTTTAGAAGATCCCCCTTGGCCTGTGTGGAGAATGACTGGAGGACATCCAGGCAGGGGTGAGGCTAGAATGAAGAAATTAGCAGAAGGGAGGTCTCGGGAAAGGAATGTGCACGACCCAGAGGCCCCCCGCTGATGTGGAGGCGGGGAGCAGTGGTGTCAAGGGTGGCCCTCAGGCTATGGCTTCGGAACTGGATGCTTACTCTCAAGCCACATGTGCAAATGGTGTGTACAAATGCATCAAACCGTCTCCATGTGTACTGATGTTTTAAGTTTCGCTTTAATACAGCCACAAAGACTCCGTCCTACTCGCCCGCCGCCTCCCAAGATACAGCGCTCGAGGCCCGTGAGTAGCCGGTGGTTCTGCCCTCCCTCCTAACATTGCCTGGGCCGCTGTCCCCGCCTGACTAAACCTCCTCGGGAGTTTGAACTCAGCTGCCTTGCAAAAGAAAACCGGGGATTGGGGTTTCCAGCTTCCCTCTCTGCGTGGCATGAACCCGAACTTGCATTTTCTGGGCTTCTCTCTCCTATTCGTGAAGCATTTCAGGGACTTGCAGGTCAGAGCTGGAGGTCGCGGGGGCTGCTGTGTCATGTGTTTGCCGTGCGCGCTGCACTGGAGCAGATCTCTTAGGTTGAGCCTTGTTCCTAGCCGATGAGCTTCCAAGCTTTGCTCCAACTGCCTCTTCTCACGAAGTCCGGCAGCAGGGGTCTCAGTTCCACCAGATTGGAGATTGAAAATTCATTCGATGTCCCTCCCAAGGGCGGAGACTGTGCCCCGAGAATGTGGCGCGGCATGGATGGAGACAGGTGTTTCTCCTCTGCCGGGCCTCACAGGAGCTCGGCTTCCCATGTGATGACATGTGACAAACCCACCAACACCTGGCAAAGGGTTAGACAAGAGAGGGAGACCCATCAGCGATTTTTAGAGAAATGTCATGGAAAAATACTGTGTGAGGGTCCCAAATTCAGCCACGGTGAAGTCACTTTCCTTGTAAACTCAGATTTTGGCCATGCCAAGGCATAGTAACTGTAGCAGATTCAAGTGGGAAACTTGACCGGACCATTTGATGCGAGCTGTTTACCAAGAGAAGAGTCCCTCTGCCCGTTGTTCAAAGCAGTTACTGCTCCTGCAGCCAAGCAAAAGGAGTCAGATTCCCACACGGTTGTGATCAGGGCGTCCCAAGGCCCCTGCCCTCTCCAGTGCACGTGTCCAGATCCGTCTTGTGAGAAGTACAGAGGCCATGGGGTGCAGGTGGCCAGGCTGGCCTGTGTCTGTTTTTAATCTTCGGTGCGCATACCCGGCACTGGCCGGGGGGCTGCTCTCCGTGCATGTAGGAAAGTTCCAGGTGCTTTTTTCCTTCCTTCACCCACCATGTGGGAGTTAGAGGGCCAGGGTGGAGGCTGAGGGATTCAGATGCCTTCACGCTGGGAGTCATGATGGATCTATCCTATTACTCACTTAAACGGCAGTTGGCACAGCTAACAAGGGGCTGAAGTCTTTCCGCTCACCGTCATTGGGAGGAAGGCACAAACGGCACGAAGAAACCGGTTTGGGGGACAGGCAGCCTTGTGGACCAAACCTTCTGTGATTCAGTGAGCATTTCCATAAGTCATTAGCAACATGGATTTGGGGCGTAGACCAAACCAGACTTGAATACCAAAGCGGTGTGACTTTGGGCAAGGGATGAAGCTCTCCAAGCCTCACCTCGCGCTCTGCCACATACCCTCATTCACAGAGAGTTTTTGTAGATGACATCGGAAGGCACCTAGCACAGCGCCTGGCACGCAGTAGCAGTTCCTAATCTCCCTAACAGGTTCTTAAATCTTACAGCTTCAAAGGAATGATGTGGCTTCTTAATAACTACCATTTCCCCAGGGTTTTTCTAGTCAGCAGACCATTCTTAGGCACATCATCTAGTTGGACCTCACAGTCACTCTGACATAAGCAGTCTCCACCCAGTTTAGAGAAGAGAAAACTGATGCTTGGTGACTGAGCCCAAGTCCCTCAACTATAGACAGACGTCACCAGACTCTGGAACCCATGGCCTCTCCAGCATACCAGGCTCCCTGGTCACTCCATCTCCATTTCCACACAATTTACCTGGTACATACAGGGTAGAGCCTTCAGGTGAGGAAAAAACAATCCGCAGCCGGCTGGGCTTCCTGTGGAATCTCTCAGGCAGTATTAGGCCCTGGCAGGAATACAGAAGTGAAGAGTATTAACATTTGTTGAGCACTTTTTATGTGCCTGGGACTGTGCTAGGCACTTGCATAATTGTTTGTTTTTACAAACAGCCCATAACAGACAGATGCTGTTTCTCTGATTTGCAGCTGATCCCACAGAGATGGTAAGAGGCCAAGCCAGCCGGCCTTGGAGCCCAGGCCTGTCTCTGCGCTGCCTCTCCTCGCTCCTCCCCAGCAGCCTCCCCAGAAGCCGAAGTCATCCAGTGGGTAGCGCTCAGAATTCCCAGGAGAGACCCGGGGCCCAAGGCAGGCAGGGACACTTAGAAAGCAGCACACAGGTCAGAGCTGCTCTCCTCAGGAAAACTCGCATGCTGGAGACAGCGACCGTGGACTCTGTTGTCTTGCCAGTGTGGGGGCTCACGCAGTGTGGGGGTGGAGAGGGAGCCACATCCTCTGGCTCTGAGGATGTGGGAGTGCAAACGTGGCCCTGAGAAAAGCCTGTCGCTGTGCTGGTGCAGGAGGCAACTAGCCCTGCACTCAGGGCCACACCCGTCTTGGTCCCCTTGGGTTGCGGCGCACAGAAGAGGTAGGGTGCTGGCCCAGCCAGTTCTCGTCGGTGTGGGAGTCAGGAAGGCCTGCTCTGGTTTGAATCACAGCTTGGCCACTTCCTGGCAGTGACTTGGGCAAGATGCTTATTTTCTCTGAGTAAACCTTAGTTTCATCATCTGTAAAATGGGCTTAGCATCACCTACCTGGTGAGGGTGATGAGGTCCTATGTAGATAGTGCATAGCATAGTCCCTGGTGAGAAGTGGGCACAGGTACCCCCCTTTGGCCCCCCTGAATGCCTTCTGTCAAGCAGGGTCACTGTGGGACTAATTTGGGAATTCTACAAGGTTTGTACTTTCTGGAAGTTGTGGTCCCCGTGCCCCAGGGTCTGTTCACACCAAGTGCACTCATGCAGACATGTCTAGTGGGCACCGCTGCACACGAGGGGTGAACCAGGGAGACATGGGAACTAGAACCCTCTCAAGGGCCTCAAAGAGGATGGTCTGACCAGTTCCCATGTCAAGAGCTACAGGCCCCCCACTGGACTTGGCTGGGTCACCTGGCTGCAGACGTCCTGGGCAAGAGATGCAGCCACTGGCCCGGGGCAGCAGGGGCATCGATGCTGGCCACTCAGCCTTTCCAGAAGGAGCTTTGTAGCCCGGCACCTGTGGCTGGAGTTCACATGTTACCAGAGGGTTTAGATTTTCTTTTTAAAAATAGAAAAGGCAAGAGCAGAAGAAAGCCTTGCCAGTGTCTGGTGGACTAAGGGGAACGGGTTGGGGCGTGCAGTGGAGAGGCAGGCTGTGGTCGGTTGCATGTGAAGCACTTTATAAGCTCTGTATTTATTATTTCTCGCTCACCATTAAAATCAAATGTGCTCAGTGCTTTTGTATTCAATACACATTTAACCCTGCCGACTTAGATTTCTCAGGTTTTAAATCCGGTGGGGAATTGGCTGGTTTCCCAACTTTCCCCTCAAGTCCCCCTTGAACAGAGCTCAAAATCCCTGTTTAGCATTTTCTCCCCTGGCGCTGCTGGGACCCTAACACTGGTGGGGCCAGTCAGGGCTGTTGTGCATGCATGTGGTTTCTTCCCTCATCCCCAGCCCCCGCCTTTCCTCAGCACCCCAGAAAGACGGATGTGATTGCTGAAATATGACAGGCCAGTTGTCTGCATCATCTTGTGATTCGGGCTTAATTAAACCATTTTGTCTCTGTGTGTCTGCCTTGGTGTGGCTCTAACTGTAGTTCTGCAGCCGTGTGTGTGTGTGTGTGTGTGTGTGTGTGTGTGTGTGAGAGAGAGAGAGAGAGAGAGAGAGAGAGAGAGAGAGAGATCGGTGCATGTGTCTTCGCCTCTTGAGTGTGTATTTGTGAGGCTGTGTACATGTTGGCATCTCGAGGCCTCTGCATGTCTCTGGATGGTTGTCTGTGAGTATAATTTTGTCTCTGGCTTTGTCCAGAGTCAGGTGTGCATGACTCTGGGTGTGTCCATAGCGGTGTGGGTGACTGACTGTCCCTGGGCCTGTTGTGCCTTTCTCTCCCTCCCCTGCCTCCCCTGCCTCCCGGCTCCCCTCCGCGCCCCTCCCCTCCCCTGCGCTGTCTGTTTTATCATCCCTAATGAAGCAGTCTTCTCCATCGATCCTGCTGATTGCCAACCCATTCCTTTTGTTTGTTGGCGCTGAGCCATTCAGCGGCACTCTGACAGCTCAGCTCGTCTAATTAGCTCTGTTGTTCTTTTTCCCCATGTTTCACCACGTTGCAAGTTCAGTTGAGGTTGCCACAAACTTAATCCCCCCATTTCAGCCACAAGTTCACATTCCTAACCCTCCTTTATTGTAGCAGGGAGCAGCCATGTGCAAGGACAGGCTGACAGGCCTTAATGTCTGCCCTTTCCTGAATTCCCCCGCCCAGGACCCCTGGGGCAGGGCAGAATCTCTCCCTCGCCCCAGCAGCACACCCGCCTTTGTGGTGAGAAGTCTGGGGGAACGTTCCAACCAGGTGATCCTGTTTACTAGCTGCCGCTGGCTCTGGTCTGGGAAACCAGCTCACAGTTAGAATGGGTGGGGGTGTATCCATTCGTGTATCCAGCAAATGGCTGACTGGATGTCTGCTTTGAGGCAGGCACTGTTCTAATAACAATGGTAATAATAGCAATACTATTATGCACTTCTTAGATTCCAGGCAGCAGCATTCATTTGTTTCTAAAAATCTTGCTGAGTGACCACTCAAATACCAGACACTGAGTGGGAAGCTAGGCAAGGGTAAGGCCATTTCACAAATCAAGTCTCCTAATTCAGGGGCACCCTACTCTAGCTTCCTTTTGTTTTTGACAAGCTCACAGAGAAGCAAGGTGAGCATTTATGGAGCCCCACTGTGTGCCAGATAAAAATCAGTGGAGCTTCACCGTAGCCCCACAGAAGAAGGCGGCAAGTTCCATGGGATGTGTTTGGTTTGGTTCGGTTTGGATTGCACTCATTCCATTTTGGTTTTTGCCACATCTCTCAGTTGCCAGAGGAGGCTGAGATCAGACTGGCCAACCCACAGGAAAACCTTCGGTTAGATCAGACGTGCAGAAACCAGAGGACCTGACCAGACTCTATAAAGACTTGTCTTTTGTGTGGCCGGTTTCTGTAACCTGTGTTCCTAAGCCATTATGCTGTGTTGCCCAAAAATTGTGTCGGGGGTGGTGTTCAAAGAAGAGGGCAGGTAGGAGTTTGCGTGTCCCCCTTCCCTGTCCTGAGAACCTCAGCCGTGGTGGCATTTCCTACATGGTCCCTCAGCTGCGGAGAGAGAGCAAGCTCTCTGCACTGGATACTCAGTCATTTTTCTTGGCAGGGAAGCTCACAGGTAGCCTAGCTTAGCTTAGCTCCCTCCTGGCCACTTCTGGCACTAGAAGTGTTCAGAAAGGACAGTGCCCAATTTAAAGCCATGTGACGCCAATTACACCAAATGAGTATCCTTCTAGGTACCCTAGAAATTCTCAGATTAACTCACATCACAGGCTCTGCGGGGGGAGAGGGTGTCTTTTTCTTTGGGCTCTTGCCTTGGCTTTCCGTGGCAGTGGGTCAGGGAAAAAAACAAAAAACCCACCTTGCCACTGCAAGAATTAGGGTTAGGAAGGTGTATGCTTCACTGTCAAATACCCTGACCCCAACCCTCGGCGTGGTAGCCCCCCGGGGTGTGCAGCATCAGGCTGAGCCCTGCTCGGGGTGCCTTGGGGAGTGGAAGGTGATTTTTATGTCACTCTCTAATGCTATTTGCTTTCTTCCCCATCTCATTTAGAGAAGAAAATAAACATCTTTTAATTCAGTTGTAAAAAGAACAAAATAAGCACACGGGCCCTTAAAAACAAAGTCTGAGTGAAACCTTTTTTTTCTACCAAACCAGTTTCTGGGTTGTAGGAGAAGGCGAGTGGGACTTACCATTAGTGGGGGCCTCTTCATTTCCGGTCACATGTAGACAGAACCTTACTAGCCCTCATGGCAGCGCTGCAGGGAGGCAGGGGAACTGTCTCCTACCTGCGGGTGAGGAAACCAAGCTTTTCAGGAGAACTGTTCCCATTTGAGTGAGCACGTTCCAGTTCAAGTGTTCACTGTACGTTCAGTGGCACGTTCAGTGACAGTGAACATTCAGTGTACGTTCAATGTTTTCATGAGTAACAGAACCTTTGTAGCCCATACTGTGCCGAGTCCTCAACATTTATTTTGGGGCCACTTTACTTAAGCTTTAGAAAGTTCCTGTGTGGCTTTTCCAACTCACTCCTTGGGGATTTTCCCCTGTGCCCATTCTAGGTGCGCCCTCCCCGTCCACATGTTGTTAAGAGACCGAAGAGCAACATCGCAGTGGAAGGCCGGAGGACATCCGTCTCGAGCCCTGAGCAGTGAGTACCCCGTTGCTCCCTCCCCTCTGTGTGCTAGACCAGCGGGGCAGCCCTCTGTGGAGCCCACACTGGCAGCCCAGCCTTCGCAAGCCTTCCCTGGGGCCCGGAAGGGGTGTCGCATGGAGGGCCCAGTCAGGAGCAGGGCTTGGTTTTCAGTGGCGGCTCCTGCTAGCAGTCGCGACACCAGCGGGCGGCCCCAGAGGCCCAACAGCCGGCCACCTGGGCTGCGTTTTAAGCAGTGATGCCCAAAAGGTACTCGGACAGGCTCAGAAGAAGTTTCCAGGCCTGTCCTGATGCTGAGAGGTAGGGTCAGGAGGAGAGAGTTAGGAACTGGGTCAAGGAGGTGACTTAACGAGGGCCTCCTCCCTCGCGGGGCACTTGAGGTCTCTGAGCTCAGATTTACACACGGGGCTGTCCTGCCCACTGCGCATGCCCACTTTGCTCCACGGTGCCACAGCATTTATGTAGTTACAACTTTGCTTTTCTCCCTCCCCTTGTGCCCAGAGGTCCTTGGGGCCGGCACTGGGGTTTATGCACAGGACCCACCTTAGACTGCTGGGTATATGTTAGACAAATGAGGTAAATGATGAGGGAGGTGTACGAGCTGTGGCCAGAGCTGCCTGGATGGGGTGAGGCTTAAGCTGCGTGGCCCCCACCCGCCATCTGGAGAAGGGACCATTGCTTCCATCAGAGGGGCACCTGCTTCCCTTTGTCCCCAAGACTCACAGCCCTTGGGCTTTGCCCAGATAACTCAGCAGCTACACACTGGCTTCCTGCGATTCCTTGAAAAAATACAGGCAGTCGATATTGGTCAGGTTATTTGAGAAACCAAAAACATTGCCCCAAGGACCCTGAAGTCCCTTGGGTGAAGAGGGGAGCACACTTCGTACCTGCTCTACCGTCAGGAGCGTTCTCAGGGAAGGAAGTTCAGGGAGATGGTGGGCTCCGGCCAGAGAAGGTGCCAGAGGGAAGAAATGATGCTCCGTTGTCAAGCCGTGGCCCGACCCAGGGCGCGGTATGCTCCGGCTGCACGGGGGCTCTCTGGTTTGTAGTGCTGTGTTGCTTGAGACTGTTGTGTCATACAGAAACCTGCCTACCCAGGCAGCCCCCAAACCTTGCCCAGAAAGCTGTAGGAGACCGTGTGTGTCTGTCTGTCTGTCTTGGGAGATGCTTGGTCATGCACTATTTGGAAGAGAGGACTCCTGAAGTTGGGTTTAAGTTTAACTTTTGCTCTGACAATAGGATGGTAGGAATATTGAGGAATAGGTCCCTGGCTGTGATTGGCATGGATTGTGATTGCCCCCTTGTGGAGGAAATGCTGCATGGCTTCCCAGTTCCTCGACCCTAAAGGTTTCTCTTTGGGGGGATAAAATCAGTCATCCTTCTTTCAAAGCCGCCACTTTAAATCTGGGCTAAATCTTTTAGTCACTGAACTGTAAAACAGGGTCATGGGCCTGTAGATATTGAAATGCAAATCCAGACTATCCCTGCACCACACAGAACAAACCCAGACCAACATCACTGCACATTCTGCAGGTGAGCATTGCCCGTTTTGTGGCCAGGTTCCCAGTTAGAGGTTGGGATTCCTCGTCACATCTGTTTTTGCGGTTGCTTTCCAGCCTGGTGACAGGGGATGCCTCTAGCGTGTGTCAGTGTGTGTGAGCCAGTGTCAGGTCGCGCCGTCTTCCTTGTTGTGACCAGAACTGTGTGGGCACCAATTCTCGTTTCTTTTACAATATGCCTTGTTGTAGATTTCTGTTTGGGAAACGTGGGGTTGACTAAACCACAGGGAGCATAGGGCCTTTAGCAAGCTGGCAAATTGGCAGTGATAAAGAAACAAATGACGGGTTCTCTGTGACCATGCATCGCAGGTTAAGAGGTACACTTTGGGACATCAGTCCAAGAGTTTCCATTCACATTTTTTAATGGTGGGGGACGGGGCTGTTCTCCCATTATGCCAGTGACATTTCTGGTACAACCTGGTTGTTTTCCCACATCTCTGCTTGCGCTCCCAGCCCCCCCCCCCCCCACCAATGTTGTGATCCTCCACTTCCAAGTGCCATGTCACAACAGCACTTGGATGTGTTTGTCTCAACTGTCATCAGCTCCAGCTGGCAAGACCAAGTTCTCGAAACACAGGAAGCATCCAGCGGAAAATATTTTAATAAAACAGACTCCTCATAAAATATTGTTCTAGGGAGGAAAGAAACCAGCTCCCCCAATCTGTCAGCATTGTGCTGAGAGACACAAGAAGACAAGCCGGCAGGCAGGAGCCAGATCCTAATGGGCCTTTGTTGCGGGTGGTTCTGTGTTGGGCACACGGATCAGTGCCTGGCCCTTTAATCTGGCCTGGATTTTCTTGAATCATGGATTGTTGTCTTCACTGGGAATATCTAAGTGCATTGGAAATGCAGAGGATTTGGGTGACAGAAAGAGATACAGGACCTCTGAAGCGGAGGGAGGGATTCAGTCCTCCCGACTTCTTGCCCCGGCTCTCACTTCCAAGTATTGTATTAAATAATCATCTGTGTGGACAGCGTGGTGGAGCTGAGGAAGAATAAGACAGTCTCCACAGCCTCCGGCAGCAGCTGCTCAGTGGCTGGGGTCCATCAAGGCCCGGGAGCATCGGCCGCCGGCTCTCCGGCCAGTCTGTCCCCTGAAGTCTGTTCCTTCCCTCCAGATGATGTTCGCTGGTCCTCTCGTGAACCCATTCGTTCAACAGGTATCTTTGAAACCCTACTAAGTAAAAACGAAGGGAATCCCTGTGCTGACTCTTGTTGACTAGAATTTTCCCAAAATGAATTTTTCTTCTCTGTCAAATTTTCTTCCTGGATCGATGGTAGGTGTCCTAACCCCTTAAAACCATTTGATGGCAATTGGAAGAACACTTCAGAAAGACTTCTGGGAAAAGCATTCCCTCTGTTTTTCAGTTAACATTAGCTAATTAATATTCAGTGACTATTTCTCCTGAAGAACTGTTAGCTACTCCCATTATTATTCAGAGCAGGGCTGATGGATGGCCCTGAGCACTCCCTAGGGGAAGAGCTAGTGTTAGGAGGGAGCAGGCAGCTTGGACTGGGGCTCTGAAGGCAGCCAGCAGCAAGTGCAGTTGAGCACCTCTCGTGTTCGGGGCCTTCTTAGGCTGGAGTTCGTTTCTCCTTCCACAGAATGGGAACTCGGGCTCTGAAAATGTATCTGACCTGTGGCCCAAGGTCATCCAGATTGAAAGCAGCAGGGCCAGGACTCCTGATGCTGCTTGATTTCATTCTCTCGATGAAATTGAGTGGGAAATTACACTCTGCTGCCCATGGGGGTCTTTGGTCAGTTTGACTTTGCCTAGACAGATGCAGATCCTCAGGTGACTTGTCCCCCATGCCACCCTTCTGCTGCAGTTCCCTGGAGTTGGGAACTGGAGCTGCCCAGTCGTCTTCCTGCCAAAGAACTAGTGTTCACTGGTGCCCGAGTGTTTCTACCTGGGGAAAGAAAGAAGCGACATTTACTGAACAACACTTAATATTGTGAAGGCTATGGGGTGGCTTTCCTATTTAACAGGTGGAGAACTGAGGCTCAGAGAGAGACTTTCAGTAACTTGCGCCAGGTCTCAGGGCTAGAAGATGGTGGGATCAGCTGTCTGAGGACAAAGGCCTTGCACTTTCTTTTGCACCATTGAGGATTTTTGTTATAAACCTAATTATGACTGCGTTACTCTGTCTGGCGAGGACAGTGGTGGCCACAGGGGACACCATGACGTTCATGGCTCCCCGCCTGTTAGAGCTGGGCCTTGGTTGTCTCAGCCACAGTGTGCATGGCTGCCAGACCCCAGCTTGTGCTCCTTGGCTTGTCAGGTACAGGGGGATTTCCTATAGAACTGGAAGCTCAGAAGGAGCTATTAGAAGGCTCCAAAAAGCAGCGCTGTGCTCAGTTCTGGCCACCCCTGAGGACCACACACAGATGCCGGAGGCGGGGGTGGCCTGCTGGTCCCAGATGCCTCTCTGAGCAGAGCTGCCTGTTCTTCGTTCACTGCAGTAGGGGATGGGGCACTAGCCCTCACAGTCTTGCTGAAGGCACAGAAGGAGACAGCTACATGCAGGCTTCCCCTTATTTAATCTTCACAACAACGCAGAAGGGTCAGGCTGTCTCCTGAGTCTTAATGGTTAGGGGCTTGCGGTCTGCATACATTGGATTGAGATGCACCCAGTTCTGACCAGCTGGAGAGCCTGAGCACTTTCAGCTGCGCACCTTTGTCGCAGTCACACAAGTCTTGACTGGCTGCAGGCTGGCTATTTGAAGTTTCGTTGTACTAAGTAAGAGTAGTCCAGATTCAGCCACCAGAGGCCCACAAGCCATTGCCTTCCTCACCCCTCTGGCCAGATCCACACAAAATCTACTCTTTTCAAATAATTTTGTTGATTTGTAAAAATAACCCAATAGGTTATAGACAATCCAGAAGGTAGGGAAGAAATAATGTCATTCTGAATCCCACTACTTCAGCTACTTACTAGCTTTCCTGTAGATTCCCCAGCAGTCTCCCGCCGGTGTCTGTGTGCAGACCTACAGCTTCCTTGAAGTAGCCCATCCTAGGGACTGGCCCCATGTCCTTGTAGCCCCTGTTGTTGGTGACTGTGGAAGATCCATATTGTGTATATGCGTGGCCTGTCTCGCCACGCCCCTCATATTGGGTCTGCAGATTGTTCCAGGTTTTTACTGATATAAAAAATGCCAGAGTGATATGTTTTCTTACTTTCTATCATTATGAGAAATGAAATGGCCTGGCTGGTGTGGCTCAGTGGACTGAGCGCCGGCCTGCAAACCAAAAAGTTGCCGGTTCGATTTCTGTTCAGGGCACATACCTGGGTTGCAGGTCAGGTCCCCAGTTGAGGGCATGTAGAAGGCAACGGATGAGATGTTTCTCTCCCTCTCTTTCTGCCTCCCTTCCTCCTCTCTAAAAATAAATAAATAAAAATTTAAAAAAAAGAGAAATGAAATGATTAACAGCTACC